ACAAGTTTTAATTTGCTATTAAACATACTTTTTATTAAGTCAATATATATATGTAAACACCAATCAGTGCTGTTCTAATGCTTAAAAACCTGATGGAGATACTTTAGATTTTACTTTCATATTTCTCAAGTTTGACTATAAACTGAAGCTTTTATCTGATTAAATATAATTACTAGCTGAGAGGTAAATGGGAAAGTCATAGCGGTCGTATTTCTTTGGATCCAAAAGCTGTGGCACACAATTATTAAGTTTGGTCCTACTGTAATTAATCCACCTCAATTGTTTAGATTCTTATGTGTATGTAAAAAAGAAATGGAAATGCTGACCTTTTTTTTATCATTGAAAGCCAAAATTTCTTGAATTACAATGATTTGGAATAACTAATTCATTCATCATCAATTTATTATAACAAGTGTTCAATGAATATGGGGAAACTAAAAGGGGTCCAAGTATCTCAGAGAGCCACATTCATCTTAATCTGGTCTTGTTCAAAGGACTTTGTGGCATTTTTAAAAAATATATTAGCTTTTGTTTGTGGTTTTTAGGAATTTTTAACTGCTTAATAAAGGTTCAAACCCATTGGGGTTAAACTCTCTTATAAGCTTAAAACTTAAATCAGACACACGTAATCAAAATTAGATCCCCTTTTTAACAAGAGAAAAAATCCCAATGGTCAAAGAAATAACTATAATCTGAAAAAATGTATACTAAAAAAATATATATATATGAAATGAAGAAATGAAAGTTAGAAATTGCTTTTTCAACCATGCTTTAACAGAACAATTTTTACAAATAAACACATGAAACCGGCCAGGAAAAAAAAACAATGGATCCTCTTAACCTAACATTTTGTTCATCAACTTTTTGAGGCAATCACTGCATTCCAGTCATTCCTGTAACTGTCAATGAGACTTCTGCTCCTCTCAGCAGGTGTTTTGGTTCCACTTCTCATAAGAAAACTGCTCCAGTCCGGTTTGAAGGCTGCCTTTTCCCTATTGGCATATTTCAGCTCCTTCCAAAGATGCTCAACAGGATTTAGGTCAGGGCTCATAGAAGGCCTCTTCAGAGTAGTCCAATGTTTTCCTCTCAGCCATTCTTGGTTGTTTGTATCTATCTTTTTTAGGGTCATTATCCTGTTGACCTGCAACTGAGACCAAACTGTCTGACCCTGGGCGTTAAATTTCCTCTAGAATCCTCTGATAGTCGGGAGATTTCATTGAACCCTGCAGAGATTCAAGACACTCTGGGGCAGAGGAAGCAAAGAGTCTCAGAGCATGACAGAACCTCCTCCATGTTTCACAGTTGGGAAAGTGTTTTTTTTTTTGTTATGCTTAAATTTTCTCTGCCCATGGGACATTCTACCAGAAGTGGCTTGTCAACATGTAGTTTAGCAAATAGCCTTGTTTCTACTTTTCTTTCTAATCTCTTAAGACAACTATTTGGTTTGCCTCCTTTTGTCCCTATTGAGTGTGTTACACACCATGTCACCAACAGCACAGGAGCTGAGTTTCCATTAACCATCAAATTGCGCAAATTGCAGTTAGCAAAAAATGCATTTGCTGAATGAAACCATTGCAATTTTGAGAAAAGCTGACATATTTATGCATTGTTTTTTTGGTCACATCAAATTGCAATAGAAACTGTTTTTTCACATCACAAGTCATACGAACTTATTGCATTTTGAAAAAACCAAGAAGAAAAAGATGAGTAGACGTTGGCGTATGATGGAATGGAGGAGACGTGGATTAGGGAGGAGACAGAGTATTTTTTTAGGTTTAGTTTGTGACGATGAGCCGTGGTTTAAATATGGATATACACTCACCGGCCACTTTATTAGGTACACCTGTCCAACTGCTCGTTAACACTTAATTTCTAAGCAGACTATCACATGGCGGCAACTCAGTGCATTTAGGCATGTAGACATGGTGAAGACAATCTCCTGCAGTTCAAACTGAGCATCAGTATGGGGAAGAAAGGTGATTTGAGTGACTTTGAACGTGGCATGATTGTTGGTGTCAGAAGGGCTGGTCTGAGTATT